TACATTTGAGATCAGTTAGAAAGTATTGTACTAACTGCATGCTACCAGCTTCACATGCTCCATGAACTGAAGTGTATCCATTATTATCAGGATCATCAGGAGTACAGGGGAAGGTCTCAATGAGATAACGTACCATACGAATATTACCAGAACGAGAGGCATAATGAAGAGGAGTACGACCAAACTTGTCTTTAGGTGTTGGATTAGATTGAATGTTTGGTTTCAAATACTGGTATACATAAACTCGTTTTATTAAGTGTAAGCAGGTGATTCCATCTTGATCTTCTAATTCAGGATCTAGTCCATGTGCCTCAATTAGTGTTCTTACTATTCCAACATCTCCTCCCTCACATGCTGCATGAAGTAAACCACGTCCTTTATTATCAATTACATTAACACCTTGGGGATAAATACTGGCCAAGTAACGAAACATATCAATGTGCCCATTACTGCAAGCTGTATGTAATACAGTACATCCTTTATTATCAATAGCTGTAAGAACTTCAATATGAACAGAACTACCAGTGACTGAGGAGAGTAAAGCTTTAGCAGTATTTTCATGACCAGAGGCAGCTGCTAAGTGTAATGGTGTCTGTCCTTCCTTGTTAGTAATTAATAGATTATTGTTTGATAGACTGGTTTCTAGTAATAGTGACACCATATCCTTTCGTCCTCTCCTGCAAGCAAGATGTAATGGTGTATTACCATCTTTAGCTTGTACATTAACAAGTACAGCATTTTTTGGATTATTGTATAAGTCATGAGGACTATCTGATGAATACTTTGTCTGACATAACCAGACAACACTCATTGAGGGTATACTCTTACTCAGTAAATATTCTAATATTTCATATCTATTAGCTGCTACAGCAACATGCAATGGTGTATAATTTTGATGATTGATTGCATTAGGATTACAATGATGACTATCAATAAGATACTTCACTACATTAAAGTGACCCCTTGCTACTGATATGTGAACTGCTCCAGACCCTTCATCATCAGTAGCTGATAGATTACAGTTCTTACTAACAAGATATTTAATAACTCTTAAATGGTTGGAGGATACTGCAATGAGGAATGGAGTATGACCGGGCATGGTGTTAGATAGCTCAAGTGATGATGGTATCTGTTCTATAATGTACTGGACCAAGTTTAACATTCCCTCACTACATGCTAAGTGAATAGGAGCCATTCCATCATTACTCATAGCACACAGATCTAACTGATGACTCATATGTTTAACAACATGAGTGT